GTCTTTCATGGTATAAGCTGTGTGCTAGTTTCATCTCAGTTGGCAGTTGAGCGAAGCAATTTTCTGAAGATGTTTATACCAACCCTTCAGGAGGACGTGGTCCATCATACCAAATCGGAATAGAAGAAATGAACAGGGTCTCATCGTCTGTGAAAAGAAAATAAGAAACTCCTTTCCAAAGTATCATATCCTTAGATCCAAATTCAAAATATCTATGTTGGATTAGTTCAGCAGCATTTATAAACAAATATCTTTTAGTAGCTTTTGCTCTTTCCTCAGCATTCAAACAATTCAAAGAGAGCATAATAGCATACAGTATCAAAATTATCTGTGTATTTTCCATCTTTGTGCAGCTTTGTTTTAACCTCTATTTTGTTTATTTTTACTTTTAACTCTTTGCTTTTTGAGACAGGTTCTCTGTATCTTTGACCTGAAGTAACTCTGTAGACCAGGCTGTCTTTGAACTCTCAGAGATCCGCCTGTCTCTGCCTCCCAGGCATTGGGATTAAAGGTGTAAGCTACTACACCTTGAACTCACAGAGATCTGTTTGTCTCTGCCTTTTAGGCACTGGGATTAAAGGCGTGTGCTACCACACACAACAACTCTCTTCCTTTTTTTTTTTTTGTTACTTTAAGAACTTTAAATTTTAGTCTGCATATATTTTTAACACAATGTAAACCATTTAAAAATTTTCTTTGTCTTTGAATCTCTCTTTACTGTATATTTCTCTTTTTTTGACCATATGAATCTTTAATTTACCAAGCAATCTCAGTAGGACTAAAGGCGTGGCTTTGCCAGCTAGATCCAGTCCTTTCCTTAGCTTTTCAGCCTCATGGCTGATACAGAGGCTGTAGCCATGTTTACTGCAACAACTGTATGGCATTTGAAGGTCCCTGCCAGCAAGTGAGCTACAACAGACAATACTCAAGTCCTCTCTCGGTAGCCAGCCCTCCTGCCTCAAACAGTCAGAGTTTGCCTGGCAGGATGGCCCAGAAAGCCGGCATTTTTAAACGGCGCAGCTTTTTTCCTGCTACAGCTGAAAACCGAAAAGCATGTGTTCAGCTTTTCGTCAATACTGTTTAAGTGTTTTGTCGCAGGACCTCTTAATGAGCTGCAGGCTTTGCAGCTAAAGCTGAGTCAGGAAGCCTCTCTTAGATGAGGCGCTTGCTTGCCTCTAGCAAGAACATAGCGAGTCTAGTTGCCATCAAACAAATTGTAGCAGTTTACTCCAAATGCTCTATTTAAAAGCTCTGTCTCCCGCAGGAGCCAGACAAAGATCACAATGGCGGCACAGCCCCAGGAAGTCATGCTTTAAAATGACACAGCGTTTTTTCTGCTACTGTTGCCGAATCAGGAAATCTCTCTACAGCACGACACCAACAAACAGCAAAAATCTGTGTTAAACTCTTTCTCCCTTATTTTTAAGTCTTTTAGTTTTTTTAAGTGGGTTTAGTCCATCACGTTGGGGCGCCATATGAAGTAATAAGAGTGGCGGGGGGCTACGTCCCCCACACCCGGCCGCCCACATGGCTAGCTTATGCTCCGAAATAACAACACACAAACTGTATTCTTTTAATCACTGCTTGGCCCATTCTCTTCTAGGCTAATTCTCACATATTAATTTAGCCCATTCCTAATCATCTGTGTGTAGCACCCCAAGGTGCGCTTACCGGGGAGATTCTAGCCTAGTCCATCCTGGGTCCGAGCTTCATCCCGGGAGCAGGGCATGGCGTCTCTTTCAGGCGTCTGCTCCCGCGAGGAAAGCGGTCGAGTCTCCGAGCTCACTTCCTCTTCCTCCCAGCATTTTGTTCTGTTTACTCCTCCCACCTATCCTCTAACCAATAAAATGGGCCAGGGCAGTGCCTTTATTAGCCAATGACCTTCCTCCATCAAGGAAGGGCTGAAAGTGCCCGGAACACCTCTGCTCCCTGTTTGCAATGCTCCCACATGTGGAAGTAAGGACCTGTGAGGAATGGCGGGAATGCTCAAAGGGTACTGAACGAGCCATGTGGAAGGCCTCGAGTCTCTGCAGGGGCATACAAGCGGTCCTGCTCACGCCTCGGGGTCCCTAGCACCTTCAGGAAGCTTTCCCAGGCAGCCTTTCTGGGCCTTGTCCACTCCAGGGTGGAAGTGAGGCCCATGATCACCTCGCGGGCCCTGAAGCCTAGTCACCAGCCTTTAGATGGGAGATGTCCCCCTATAGGCCTTGTGGTGTCACCATTTTCACAGGCTTTCATCCATGTCCGTCAGTCCAGCCATTCCCTGGGATGAGTGCCTTTTAGAGGCCCTAAGACCCCAGGCCTTAATGTCCTAATTCTTCAGCTCCTTCCCTCACTCCGCCAGTGTCCCCCAGGTTCCACTTTTATGGGAGCTTTCTAACTACTGTCAACATACAAACAAACGGAAGGAGATTCCTCAAACTGTCCCTGCCACCACTACTGCTGCCAACAAGATTGGTCGGATCCATGAGGCGGCTGTTTTCAATTCCAGCCTTTTGCTCCCCACCACGGCTTGTGGTATGGTGGTTCGGTACAGGGCGGATCACGCCTCTGGGTCTCTCTTTTTATTAAACTTAAAATCCCTGCGGCTCAAATTTCGTGGCTTTTCCATACACTATATGTCCCGCTGCCATTTTGACTGAGGTCAGGTGAACTTACCATCATCTTAACTGAGGTCAGATGACTTCACCGACATCTTAACTGAGAGCCAGGTAGATGACCAAGTCCTGTCATCTTTACTGAAGTTTTCCCTGTCTGCTCCCCCAGTGCTGACTCTGTTGCTTGTGTGTTTTGTGCAGTGGCACGCCTTAGGTTGGCCGCACCAAGAACATCCACTTTGCCCAATTCCTGTTCCCTCTGTGTGTATGTTCGTACATGTAACTTAGGTGCACCTATGTTTACCGTTAAATGTTATAATTGTCTGTTCATTGCATCTCATTTCAGACTACAGAAACAATAAGTCTTATGTTTTATGCTGGCATGTACTTTTAAGTTTCTTACAAAAACACTTTATATTTGATCCAAACCTCATTTAAAATGTAGTAAGATGTTCTCTACTATTGTCAGTTCTGCCCTTAACCTTCTATTGCAAGCATTTTTTTTTCTTTCTGTCTTTTTACAAATGTAAATCTTGCCTGGTAAATTAAGAGCCGGTACAGTCAAGCTCAGGCCCGGCTCTCCAGGCAGATTCTATACTGTAGTTCCACCTGATAAACGGCCCACAACTGCTCCGAGATCTGGGAGACATGGCATTTAAATATTTAATTATTAATAAACTTTTCCTCACAAAAAGAGACAGGTTGGCTCCTAGCAGCAGCACTCTACTTCCTTCAAAGAAGACAGAAAGCAAATGGGCACAGAACAACGTCCATCCACACTTTGCTTCGACTGCCAAGCGCTGACCACCGAGAAAAACTGCCTTTCATCTGAACTGAGGATCTCCAGACACGAAAAGAATCTCTGGAATCGACAGCCTAGCTGCTCAGGTCAAGGTAGGCTTGTCTGCCTACAGATTTCGTAGCCCGCAGGATCTTCTGGAGCCTGGCAGGCCCTGCTCTAAACATCAAAAGGCAAACGCGACCTTCAGTGACCACGGAGAACCCTGAGGTCTAGGTGCCAAACAAGTAAGTCCTCTGTCGTTTTTTAATCAGTAATTCAAGTAAAATTTCATCCTTCTCAAAGATCTCTGATGCAGTTTGACAGCTGAGAGGTTTTGTCAGTTTAAAAGGACAACCTCACCAAACAAATTTCAGTAAAATACAAATACAAGACCTGCAGGTTATAAAGGTGTGAGCTTTTATAAACACAAGTTATGAACACAAGTTATCAAATTTCTCTCACACGCTGTCTTCCGTAGTCTTAACACTTTTCATTGTGCAATAATATCTGTCACAGCCATTCTGACATAAATATGCTACTGTTTACACAATGTATATGTCTGAAACTTCTTTTTTCACAAACCCTAAGAATTCTTGTGAGTTCCAGGAAAAAACAGTCAGAAACACCCCCTTCAATTCCCTGGTCCTAATTTTTTTCCCCTAAACTTAACTTTGTTCTCTGTTCTGCCATTACCTTAAACAGGTGTAAGAGGTCTGTGTTTGTGTGGTGTGTGTGTGTGTGTGTGTGTGTGTGTGTGTGTGTGTGTATTGTTTGGTGTCTGTGTGAGAGTGTGTCTGAGTGTGTTTGTGTGGTGTGTGTGGTGTGTGTGTGTATTGTTTGGTGTCTGTGTGAGAGTGTGTCTGTGTATGAGTGTGTTTGTGTGGTGTGTGTGTGTGAGTGTGTGTGGTGTGTTGATTTAAATGAGATAGCCTCCACCGCCTGGGGATATTGAATACTTCTTTTCTCCTAGATGGCTGCTGTTTGGGTTTGTTTGGGGGTGTGGCACTGCTGCAGGAAATATGTCACTGTGCATGGCTTTGAGGTTTCCAAAGCTTCCTGCCATTTGAAGTGGGTTCTCTCTCCTTTCTGCTTGAGATTCACCATGTAATTTTTTTTTGTGAGGACGGGGTGGGGGGAATGATGCTGCCACCTGGTTTCCTGGAGGTTCCCGGTCCTCCATATTTGTTGCAAAGTGACCTAGAACACTTATTTCCAGCTGGAGAGACAAAGTGCCTGCCTTCCAAATTCTGTCAGGTGAAAAGGTGTCCTTCTCAGACCTGGCCCCTGCCTGATCTTATTATAGTAGAAGGTAGAACGGAGCCTGTCAGCTCTTGTCTTGCCTTGTCCCGGCCCCTTGTCAAAGCCCAGCACCAAGGACCCTGCACCCTGGAATGGCAGGCAACATCGTCTTCTGTCGTTGTGTGCATGCTTACTCTGTTTCATGCGTGCAGCTGCAGGGGATGGTGGGGGAACTAGGTGACAGAGATGTAAGTGAACAGTCAGGCAGCCTCCTTCCTGATTTCTACCGAGAACTGGCCTCTTACTAGGGGAGAACGTTTTTCCTATGACACTGTGGTTGCCATGACAATGGGGACAAGCCATTCTTTCCTGGTTACAGATACATTAGCGAAAGATACTCACAGAGCGGAGACGTGGGATCACTAGACAGACACGCGAGGCACACAGGTAGGTGCCTGCAGCCATCCTGAGTGAATGTGAGCTGGGCCCGTGAGTGTGCCGTGGGTACGTGCTGGCTCTTTCGTGGGACAGGAAAGGTTCTGGCTATTACTGTTTGACGCGAATCCCCAAGGACTGGTGCTCAGCCAGCCCTGTCTCTTTGTCCTCGGGTGACACCTCACCGCGTTGGTGCCAGCTTTATCCTTTCAGGCCCTGAAAGGATATCCTGAAAGGATAGCTCGCCAACCTACATAAATGGCTGCCTCGTCGCTGTTTGGCAATGATTGTCCCACGTGCTCTTGACAGAATGGCCGTGTTGGTGCGATGGCACCTTACCCGAGAGAGTTGTAGCTTGTGTTGTCTGAGAGAGAGAAGCTGGAAGGCATTTAAGGAGGAGGTAAACGTGGATGAGGACTGGCAGTTCCCTTGGAGGATAGAAGCCGAGGTCTCCAGATCTCTTGGCCTGGAGACCTGACACAAGAAGGGAAGAAATGCCTCCAAAAGACAGCCGCCTCTAAAGTGGCCACTAATCGCAGCTAGGCAGACTGAGGCAAAAAAAAAAAAAAGTCAGTGCGGTATGAGAGCACCTGAAGAAGGGGCAGCGTCTGTTCCCACGACGGGTGTTAGTTTGTGCCCGGGTCGGAGTCTTTGCTCTGCTCACAGATGGGTTAAGCATCAGCTGGGCTGTGTTACAGGGTGTGCAGCTGGGGTTTCCCTCTGACCCAGCAGCCCATCATCGGCATCTCTCCCTGTATCTCGGCCCCTGCGTGTGAACAATACGCTCTGTGCCCTTCTCGCACCCTCTCGTCAGACTGGGCCCCGTCTGTTTGTCTCACCACAGGGAGGGGAGCCATCTGGAAGTTCCCATCTGGAAAAAACGTGAATGGACGTCGCACACGGAGACCGTGTGCGAGTTCTTGACAGAAGGCCTCGGGCACGGGGCCAAAGCATGTGTTTAGACAGGGATTTCAGGATTCCATCTTGCACCCTTCTCCGTGCACCTCTGGGAAAGACTTTGCTGCTTTCATCGGAAAGGTAACTGTCGAAGGTAGTGCACTAGAGGTGATGCCTGAATCGATGGAGCCGGATGGCAAAACTGACAATATTTAAGCAGGTTGTAGAAAGACGGAGGGCTTTTCTAAGGCACGGCGCAGTAGGCCTGCACAGATGGAATACACACGCCGGGAAGAGCGTGGCCTGATAATGGGTGCAGACGCTTTTCTCTGTGACTGAGATACAGATGCTGCCTGGATGTCCTGGCATGTGGGCTTGAACACAAACTTGATATTCCCGGGTATGTTTTCTAACTCAGGAAGTGTGTGAGGCTGAGAACATCACGCCTGAGGGAAGCAGAAGCTCCTGCAGGCACCCCTGCCTGGGGTGGAAAGCTTGCATTCTATAACTATAACGCGGGCCTCCGTGATTGCTAAGGGCACCGAGTGAGCAGTGGGCTCTCTTGTGCCCGAGGTGTGGTACCCGCATATGGATGGGGGCATGGTTGCTTGGGCTAGATGGTGCTCAGTCAGCCTTGCTGGTGAGCATGTGCTCGGAAGGTCCAGCAGAGGGCAGCCGGAAGTAACTGAGGTGCCTATGTTTTCCTCTGTGTCCTCAGCAGATAGATACCTGTGGTCGAGGACTCCACGGAGGCCGGATCAGAGCAGGCCAACCCTGTGAGGTCACACAGATTTCTCGGAAGAAGAACCACTGCGGGTGATCCCTAAATTGGGCCCCAGATTGCACAGTCCACATTTACTATTGCATCACCCAGCAGGTGTGGCCTGGGCCAGACCTAGACTCCTGCATGTTGAGAGCCACTTTATGCACTGTGAGATCAGATTGGAAGTCGGTAAGACTTGAACGGGAATACGGCAGAGGGGACACTGTACATTTGAGCAGTGAATAGGGATCTGGTGCTAGAATTACCGACGGGTGTTTATGGATACAGAGGGTGGGAAGGGGAGGGCTGAGGGACTGAAGCGAATATCATTTGCCTCCCATATTTCTGTCCGGTCGGGAATTCCCATGGGTAAGGCAAGGCCTGGAGTCCCTAAGGGAGAGGTCGGGGTGCCCGCACTCACCGAAGGGGTCGTGGGCTAACAGGAGTCCCCAAAATGACCAGGGTCCTCAGGGAACTGCCTCAGGAGCCCCGGGTCCACAGTGCTCTGCGGTGCTGTGCCTGGTGCTGGCCCGGTAATGAGAGAAGCCGCGCGGACCCAAGGCAAGAGCAGTCAGGAAAGGAGTAGACCCCTGACACACACCCACTGACAGTGAGCAGAAAGGGACGAGACTCCACTGAGAAGCACGGGGGAGGCCCTGTGTGGAGAGGCAGAGAATGGAGGGACATGGACGGGAGAGCTATGCTACAGATGAGATTGGACACCACTTAAGATTCAAAGCATGCCTTCTGGACTTAGGGATGGGCAAGTGACCATCCAGGGCATCAAACAGCCGCTTTGATTTCCTGTCTGTCTAAGACGACCCTGTGGATTAACATTATGGCACAGAGGTTGTGGGCAGGAGAGTTCTGTGGCCTGGGATCTGATGGTAGAACAGTGCCCATCGCCAGCAGATATGGGTGTGCAGGGCCCATGGACTTGAGGCAGCAGCAGGAGAGTGGGCAATACCAATGGCGACACTTACCCTGTTGCTCTCATCTGACACTACTGAGTCTGCCAATTAGAAAGCATTTCTCCACGGTGAAGTGCTTTCCTTGGGGGGGCTCTCCTTTGTGCCACGCGTGCACTTGATCCCATAGCGAGGTCCAGCACGGAGTTGGGAGCAAGAGGTCAGAACCAAACTATGAGGGGGCGGGGGAAGGGGAGGGAGGCCAGAAGCTATGACAGTGACAGCAACCATCCTTACCTGCCATGTTATGCAAATCGCCATGAAGATTTCCGCACACACACGCACACACACAGGCACACACACGCACACACACACACCGTTCCTCAACCTGGTATCATACTGGTGCAGAAGGCAAGGTGCACTAGGTGTGCACAGGCTTCCTGGGGTGGGGCACAGGGGGGGTTAGCTCCCTAGGAAAGAAAGCAATGAGGCTCCCCCCACCCGGACGGAATCCCGGGGAGCCCCCAAGGCATTGGATGGGCAGGAAAATACACAAGCCAAGTAAAGACACTCCCCTCTCCGGGAGGAAGTTCACCACCCTAGCCTCAGGGTGGGTGACCCTGTGTCACACATCTGCTCTGGATCCTTCCATATCTTCTCAGGCACACACCCTCATCCCTGTGGAACGACAGACTTTGGGCACCCCCTTGCTTTCTCTCTCCTCACCTCACTGAGCTGTTGCTTCAGTATCCACTAAAGGCTAATTCCGTCCTAACGCAGCTCTGCTTCCCTCTCCCACACTTACAGGGCAGGCCCACATCACCCTGAGAGAGGCCCTCAGGTTGAGCTTGTCTACCAGATTCTGGAGGGAGGACAGCACCGCAGGCAGGGGAGCCAGGCCAGACAGAGACGACCAGCAGGGAGCAGTGCCTACCACAACGCAGGGGGTCACCCTGCCCTGATCAGAACAGCCCCAGGGTTCCATCGCCATGGACTCTGCAGAGTATGTGCTCTGTGGCTGGAAGGGCCAGCTGTGGCCTGCAAGGGTGTTGACCAGACCCAGGACCTCGGCCCATAGTAAGAGGAGAGGGGCCTCTTTCCTGGAGGTCCAAATTCTCTCTGTTGGTGAGAAGACCAGAGTGAGGAGCACAGAGGCGAGGCCCCTAACCAAGTCTGAAATCGTAACCATCGCCTCCTTGGCCGGAAAGGAGTCACAGGGCAGTGGCCCGCCAGGGCAGACCAGGGCATACAGAAGAGCCCTCAGGGTGGCCCTGGATGTTCTGGGCGAGGGAACCCGCTTGTATCAAGGAGAAAGGGCAGGTGGCCGAAGAACCAGCACAGTGGCTCCCAAGGTTCCAAAAGAGGAGACCAGCTCCAGCCCACGCCAGCGCCAGCACCCCCAAGGGCGCAACCAGAGAGGCCAAGGGCTCTCCCACAGGAGTCCTGGGAAGCGAGGCCGCCCAGGACCTGTGTTGATGGGCTCAGGGAATGAGCCTGCAGTGCAAGGGGGGGAAGCCCAGGCCCATGCCACTGTAGAGTCCCCTTACTCTGAAATGCAAGGGAACATGTTAAGGGGCACCAGAGCTCGGCCAAGTTCCTGCAAGACGCCAACAGGAAATGCTGGTGATAATCCTGGCAAGAGAAAGTTGAGCACCCGGGCCACTAGGGAGGGTGCCCCTGCTAACAATGAGCATAGACCTGCCTCTGGGCCACCGAGGAGGCACGCCTCTACCTCGCCCAAAGCTCTCAAGCAGCAAGTAGGGTGTGGTGGCCTAGAGATCCAGGCCATTGGAGCCCAAAGGAAGACCACCCTCCCAGAGAACAAGGAGGATCCCGGTCCGCCGACCCCGAGGCCAGACTCAGAGGGGGCATCGGCAGCCTGCACGCCTCCAGTCCCGAGCCTGCGAAGATCAGTCCGCATTGCTGGCAGGAAAAGGAAGATCCATGTGCTGTGTGCACATTGTGGGCTCTCGGGACTGGAAACTCGAGTGCGCTCGAAGGTGACTAAGGCCAGGGTCAAGAGGAGAGCCCCTGGAGTTCAGGAAGACTGCCAAGCCACCAGTGTGGCTTCTGCCCAGGAGACGAATACCATCGAACGAGGGATGCTGGTCTGGTTCAAATTCCAGGACCATCCTTTCTGGCCGGCGGTGGTCAAGAGTGTCAGCAAGAACGACAAGACGGCCAGGGTGCTGCTGATCGAGGGCAACATGCAGTTTGAGCGCAGGGGTGTCCGCGTCCCTCTCCGCAAGCTGAAGCTCCTGGACTGTGGGGAGAGATTCTCCCTCCTGCGGAGAGCCAGCAAAGTGTACGGCCAGGGCATCAACTGGTGCCTCTCTGTGATCGACCGCTACAGAGAGGACCTCGCCTGTGGCTCCTTCCGGGGCTCCTTTATGGACTACTACACCGCCCGAGCCAGTTACCCGCTGAGGAGAGCCATTCAAGAGGGCGACCTGCGCATTGATTTCCCCAAGGTGAGCTATGCCGACTTGGAAGACTGGGAGGAGGAGACCGCCCCCGGTGGGAAGAGGCCCCGCAAGAAACTCCTGCCTGACCGCATGAGAGCCGCTTGGGACAGAGCCAACCAGAAGCTCGTAGACTTCATCGTGAAGAGAAAGGGGGCCGACCAGCACCTGCTGGACATCGTGAAGGGCAGGAAACCGTCCCGGTGGCTGGACGACCTCTGGAAGTCAAAGAGGGAAGTCTTCTGCATTGAGACCTACCTGGAGGATGAAGACCAGTTGCACCTCGTGGCCAGACATTTGCAAGAAATATCCAAGGAAGCAGACCAGGCCCTGCTCTCGCTGGCAAGAGGAGACCAAGTCCGGCTCACCATGGAGGTTCTTCTTCCAGAGGCAATCATCTGCTCCATCGCTGCCCTGGATGAGCTCAGCTACAAGGAGGCAGAAGAGAAGTACCTGCGTGGCCCACCTGTGCACTATCGTGAAAAAGAGCTCTTTGAGAAGACCATCCTAAAGGCGGCCCGGAAGAGGTCAGCAGCCAGGATTGGGGCTGGCAGGGACCCTCCTGCGCCCACTCCTTAGAAGGGAGCCTCCTCCTTTCTGCCATCACCCCCTGCAGCTCCACCTCCAAAAGAGAACCATCTGGGAGACTGTGGGGCTTGCTATGACCGCTCCTCACTGCATACGTGTTTCTCCACACACAGACCCCACCCCTACCCCCTTACTCCCGAAATAAACGTTCACGAACGTGCTTGACGTTGCAGATTGTCTACATGGATTCGGCAATTCCTGTTAGCCTCAGGCCGGGCCTAGCCCTCTGTGGCCTGTGCCCAAGCGTGGAGAAGTCCCTTGGGGTCTCCTCTCTGGACCGTCACCAGCTATGGGTGGGGTATTAGCTAGCTATGCGCAGACTTGCCCTCTCTGCTTGGACCCCACGCACCCAGACAGCACACCAGGTTCCTGATGACACTGTGTCTCTCTATGTGTCTCTGACTCTTCCCCTTACTCCCTGTCCTCTCTAGGGTGCCTTGGATGGGGCAGGTCCCATTGCTTTCTCCATTACCTCCCTCTTTGCTCACTCACGTTGAAGGAGAGGAACGCATGTGTGCTTTGAGGCTGTGCTTTGAAGCCAAAGAAGGGGTTGGAAATGTTGTGACCCTAGGGATAGCCTGATTTCAAAGGACCCCCCCCTCTTTGTGTGTGTGTGTGTCTCTGCGTGTGTGTCTCTGCGTGTGTCTCTCTCTGTCTCTCCCTCTCTATTTATCTCTCTGTGTGTGAGCACGCTTGCACGCGTGCATGTTTGTGAGTGTGTGTGTGTGTGCTCCTTTTGTTTGGATATGTGTGTGAGAGAGTGTGCAGATCTTTTGGTATGTGGTACGTATGTTTATGTGATCATAGGTGTAAGTGGAGACTTCACGTTCATTTCCTGGCCACCCAGACCCAAATAGTCACAACAAAAACTTCATTAATTACAACACAGTTTTGCCGACGGCCCAGGCATATTCCTAGCTATGTCTTACATCCTAAATTAACCCATTTCTACTCATCTGTGTATCACCACGAGGCTGTTGCTTACCGGTAAGTTTCCGGTGTCTGTCTCCTTTGGCAGGTGCATGGCATCTGCCTGACTCTGCCGTCTTTCT